AAAAGAAAAAGGTAAGTTTTTAAGAAAATATTTTTATTTAGAGTTAATTTTTGGTTTAATATATATAATATATCAAATTTCTCAATATTTTACGAAATCAATGAATCAATAGAAAGTAACATGTGAAAAATTTGTAAAATAAACTCTTCATTTACTTAAGGCATAACTATAACATTAGTCTTTATTGTTTCATTAACTTTTCAGTTTCATCTTACTCCTTTTACAATAATAATTTATTATTAACCCACCCAACAACCGCATGTTATTCAAAATCATCCTAATAAAATCGTATGAATTTGTTATTAAAATAAATGATTAAAATCCGAGTTATAAATGGAATACGAGTTTAAAGTTTAAGCATTTTAATTGAATGAAAAATGTTTAAACGTCTTGAAAAAAGATATATAGTTTGGACAATTTTTTTATATTAATCCTTATATCTAATAGAAAGTTGTGGAAGTTTGAGATAAATTTTCATTAAGTATGTCAATTTTTATCGTAATTTCAGTAGTTGTTTCAATTATCTGATCGAATACATGCTTGATATTTTTTTTATGTCATGTTAAATTTATTTTTCTAAAATCTCTTTATTTTTTATGTTCCTCAATTTTAATTATTTATTCTTTTCATTTTATATTGTTGTACTAATATGAATTTGGTCAAATCCAGAATATGTTTTAATATTTTAAAATTAATAATTTTGATAATGAGATTCTTAAATAGTATATTATTTAGATATTGATCTATTTTTAAATATTAAAATTAGTACTTTAAATTTATATTTATTGAATAATTAAATACAATGTCTACACATGTGTCGTGGTCTAACTCGTATAAACATGTATTTTGACACATGCCACACATTTTCTTTTCTGATTTAAAAAATATACTTTTTCACATATTTTGCTTCTTTTTATTTTCGGGTATCTGAAATGTCGGATATCCAGAATTTTCGGATAACAAAATCTCAATCCATGTCCCGACCCATAAAAGATGGCTACCCGTAAGTTGGATACCCATAAAACCCGAATATTTCACATTTTAGGGTAATGAGTACTCGTTAATATTTATTTTATTTTATTAATTTATATTATTTAAAAAAATTCACATAAAAACTTAGAATTTTACAATACATACTATAAACATAAAATTTATAAATCTAAATTATATAATCTAACAATAAAATTTAAAAATATAAAAAGTAAAATAAAATAATATAATTAAAACAAAATTTAAAATACTTTGAGAATAAAATAAATAATTTAAATGTTAAGGTGAAATAATTTGAAAGATAGAGATTTAGAATGTGAGAGTGAAATAATTTTGAAATTAAAAATGAAAAGTCTAATTTAAGATAAAAAAAAATAAAAAAGAGAAATCGGGTGAGTCAGTACCTGATTTAGGGCAATTTTGTGACCCATACTTGATCTAGAAATCCACTTGGGTCGACGGGTTGACGAGTCGGATAATTTGTATCGGGTACTTTTGAACACCCCTTATATTTAAGTAAATATGCCTAAAATTTAAATGGTTAAAGTATAAAAATAGTCCCTCAACTATATGACGTTAGTTTTTTTAGTCTCGTAAAAGTTACAAAATGATCTCTCAATTATAGGATGTTGTTTTACTGAGTCCACTAAATATTATAAGTAACAAAATGTTCACCAAACTATTCATATGTTTCAAACTTATCTTTTTTGTTAAAAATCGACGGTTGTTTGAGTTTGACGTTAACCTGTTGATTGAAATTAATAAAAATTATATTTTAATGATGCCTACTAGCACTACCATTGCTTTCAAGCATTAACTCAACGACATAATATTTAAAGCACTAGCTCGATGATGTAATGTAAACGAAGAGTCGATCTATAAAATACAACTCAAACGGTTCTAAGTTTAAATTTTATCATATCCCAGTTAACAAGAATGTCCACCTCATACAACCGTCAATTTTTTAACGAAAAATTATGAGTTTAGAATATATGAATAGTCAGACAATCATTTTGTAACTTTTGATAGTTAAAGACTCAACAAAGTAAAGTCCTATAGTTGAGGACCTTTTGGTGTACTTTACCCATTTAAATTAGCTTAGTTTTATTTTCTGAAAAAATAAATTAATTAATTAAGTTGCGTATATTTCACGCGCAACAATGTTGGTCATTCTTGACCCAATAGTGTCTCTGCTGAAGTAGGCACTTCACCTATCATTTCAGAATTAAAATATACTAATACCTCTACATCCACGCTCCTTCTTAATCGAACTAGGAATGACAACAGGGCGGGTTCGGTGCGAGTTTTGTTCTTCCCGTCTTTGAACCTTAAATGAATCCCCATCCCTGATTTGATTTCCGTCGGGTTTTTTATTTGGACGTCTCATCGGAGATTTTTTTTGCCCCATTCCCGAACTCAAAAATATTATATATATAATTAATATAAAAAATATAAAATATATATATAAATTAATATAAAATATAAAATATATATAATTAATATAAAAATATAAAATATTATATATATATATATATATATAATCGGGGCGGGGATACCTTGCCCCGTCCCCGACCCAAAAAATTCCCCGATATCCAACCCGATATCATTCAAATCCGACCTGAACTTGATCGAATTTCGAATTTTCCCCGTCAGATTCGATTCATTCTACCATCCCTAAATCGAACTTACATATGTGTAAAACCCACGTAGAAATTTCCCTCCTCAAACCTTAAAAAGGTAAAGTGCAGTAGAGGTCACTAAACTTTATTAAAATAATTTGTTTGATCATTAAAATCTAGAAAATATAAAATAATTATTAAATTTTATAAATGATTAAAAAAGAGCCACTATGATGTAATAATAATAATAATTTAACAATTTTAAGGATCTTTTATAATATTTTGATACAATTAATATTCTGCTGGTATCTTATCTAGAAATCTGGAAAACATCAATCTGTTACAGGATTCAAACAAGGTTTTATACCTGTTAGATACCTTGGTGTTCCTCTTGTTACTAGAAAGTTAACAGCTAAAGATTGTCTGCCTCTTATTGAAAATATCAAATAAAGGCTTCATCATTGGTCTGGGAAATTACTGAGTTATGCAAGTAGACTAGAGCTAATTAAAATTGTTCTACACAGTGTGGTTAACTACTGGAGTAGGCAGTTTTTACTTCCGCATAAAATCCTTAAACGACTGGACCAACTCTGTTCTAGATTCCTTTGGAAAGGATCAGATACGGCTGCTACAGGAGCTAGGATCGGTTGGGAGAAATTATGCTGCCCCAAATCCGAAGGCGGTCTTGGCTTAAAAGATCTCAAAACATGGAATAAAACCTGCATGGTTCATCTTATTCGAAAAATTCTTGCAGGAACAGGATTTTTGTGGGTTGCATGGATTCATTGCTATGTGATTAAACGCAGTAATTTCACTGATATCAATGAACTCTCTTCTTATAGCTAGTGCTTCAGGAAACTTATTAAACTAAGAAGCGAAGTACTCCCTATCCTTATCACTGGAATTTCGAATACCAGAGACCTATGGGAGGAAATAAGAGTCCATAAAGCAAAGGTATTGTGGCACAAAGTTATCTGGTTCCCACTTCACATTCTGAAACTGAGTATTATTTCATGGATGGCTATTCTGGATCGACTTCCTACTAGGGACAGACTCTCTAGAATAGGAATTGCTTCAGATGATTCATGTATTCTATGTCATGAGTCACCTGAAACAAGAAACCACTTGTTCGTTGATTGCTCTTTTACTACTTCTCTATGGAACTCTATCACGAGTCTCACTAATATGTACAACACCCATAATACTTGGGATTCAAGGATTCATTGGGCTTCTTAGCAATGGAAAGGTAAATCTCTTCCCTCCACCATTCTGAAACTTTCTTGGACAACTTACATATACTCGATCTGAGATGAAAGGAATAGATGCATCTTCAGAAGACCTGATCAAGTCCTCAAGACCATTGAGGACCTTGTTCGAATCAAACTCAGTGATAGAAGCTTCAATAGAACTGACTTTGTTAATGTAAATTTATGTAATTATTGGGGTATAGAGTGAACATTTTTGTTGTAAGTAGTTTTTTTACCCCAATTGGGACGTTTTGATGTATCTTTCTCCATTGGATAATAATAAAATTGCTTATCCCAAAAAAAAACATTTCGATAAACCTAATAACTATTGTATAATCGTACTACTAATGGAGCCGCTCACCTGTTAGCTAGCCTAGTGTCTACTACTTCATCGTTAATATTATTTAGAGGGTTTTTAATGAGGTCATTTTCAAAAAAAAATGTCACCGTAATTATTTTATAATTGTTTGATTAATTAATAATTATTTTATAAGAGAGTATAATAACCATAATGATTATTTTATCATAATTCAGTGACCTTAAAAAAGAAAAAGACTTGAAATTTTTTGAGTCAAATACACAAATGGTCCCATAATTATTGGATATTATTTTGTTGAGTTCCTTGACTATTAAAAGTTATAAAAAAGATCCCTTAACTACATGACACTGTTTTGTTAAATCCTCCTATTATTAAAAGTTACAAATGGTCACCCAACTATTCATATATTCCAAAATCATCATTTTTTGTTAGTAAATTGGCGGCTATTTGAGATGAACATTAACATGTTGATTGAGATATGATAAATTTGATCCCAAAATTGTTTTATCTGTATTTTATGGATCAAATATTCGTTTATATTATGTCATCAAAATGCTTGAAACATTATGCTAGCGAGTCAATGCTTGAAAGCAACAGTGGCACTAGTAGACATCCTTAAGATATGATTTTATCATATCTGAATTAGCATGCTATTGAATATCATTTTGTAACTTTTAATAATCAAGAGACTTAATATAGTAATACCATATAGTTGAGAGATCATTTGTGCATTTTATCCATTTTTTCTTGAGATGTTTCTCTCTTCCAAACCAATTCCGAAACCTGACGCTCCTCCCTCTAATTTTAAATTCACCGGTTTCATTTCCGTCATATTATCCAATAAAATATCTAAAAAAGGGGAAATTAAAAGGAACGCTTGCCCATTTCTTTATACAACTTTTGTCTTTTTCTTCTTCTCCTCCTTCTTGGACCGCCTCCACTCGTATTTGGAAGGTTTTTCTGTTTATTCCAATGGGTTTTTGGGTATGAATTGAAGGTAGGTTTTCTGGGTTTTCTCTCTATCTTTTTTTAGTGTGTTTTTATTTCCTGGAATTTTTTTTCTATCGTTGGTTATAAAGTGTTATTTTTTTAGAATATTCTGAATCTTCTTGATTCCTTTAAGTAGTTTTATTTTAAGAGAATGTAGTTTTTTTTCTTCATTCTTTTAGGGTTTCTTTTCATGTTTATTTTGGTTTTGAAAAATCCATTTTCCAGCTACATTGTCACAACTTGTAACGATTACGATGTTTTAGTTGGATATTTTCGAGAGAAAAAAGGTTCTAACCCGATTTTCTGACAAATATTGTTTTATTTTTGGATAATTAGGCTGAATTCTTAGCTGACCGGTGAATTCAAGAGAGAAAAAGGGAAAGGATTGGAGTTTAATAGAATTGGGTGGTGAGAATATTTAGTCCTTTTGATTAAATCTTTTTATCAATTTTTTTTTATTTTGATTGAATTGCTGGCTCAATTGTAAATTTGACATGTAATTATGGTTTCTTAAGCAAGTAAAGTAGTTTTTACCCATTAATTGTTAATGGTGGAATATAGTTTCAGGAGGGGTTAGTGATGATGGGTGGAAAAAAATAAGCTGAAGTATTAAATGAGTATTTCTGACTGATTATCGATTCAGAGTAGCCATTTGACATAATAACTTCTTTTGAAAATTTGATGCGGATAAAACAATTTCATAGTATGCAAAATGTTAACTGATTTTGTGCTTTTGTCTTTGTGCTTTCAGTTTAGATTGTGCATAGATACTAGCATGGCATCTGGGAATACGTTTTTTGATGACTTGCGGAGCAAGCCTGAGGTTATTATTGATCCTCCAGAAAATGAAGACATTTTGGATGGTGAACTTGTGAATGATCCTACTCAACTCGCCACAAAACCAAATTTGGTTGTGTCGAGCAGTGTGCGTCAATTGTTGGAGTGCCCTGTTTGCTTAAACGCAATATACCCACCAATTCATCAGGTTTGTTCATATGACACGTATTTGATGATTACTTTCAAGAAATTGTTTAAGCAAACAATTTTTGTGTCTGCGGAAATCTCTTGCTACCATAGAAACCTTACTTGCTATGTTATGCGAGTGTTGGTCATGTGTACTACAAGAACAATGAAGAGTCTGAACAACATATCTTAACCGTTCCAAATATATTTTTGCACGCACTTTCAGTTGAGCATTACCTTACACCTTATCTGGTCAAAAAGGCTCCATGTGTTTTTGTGGTTGTTTATCTTGTTTCGCTCTAGCCATTGATCATTAATTTACCTTTAAGCTAGTTGTAGTTTGGAATTATTTTATTGATTTGTTTAGATAAACATACTGTTAATTTGATATGGAAGGGTATAAGGAAATTTCAATCAATGCCGATGTTAATACTCCCAGAAAATTGAAGCTTCGATTGGAGCATGACATGAAATTCCTGTGTTAATACTCTCTTTATTGGTTGTGAATGCACACACATATATTTATTGTGTTATCCTTTTTAACAGTGAACATAAACACAGAAAAACTTACTGTTCGTTTTCTTTCTTTGTGCAGTGCTCTAATGGACACACATTGTGCTCTGGTTGCAAGCCAAGGGTCCACAATCGGTGCCCCACATGCAGACATGAGCTCGGGAATATTAGATGTCTTGCATTGGAGAAGGTTGCTGCATCTCTTGAGCTTCCCTGTAAATATCAAAGTTATGGGTGTGTAGGCATATATCCATATTACAGCAAGCTAAAACACGAGTTGCATTGTTTGTATAGACCGTATAGTTGCCCTTATGCTGGGTCAGAGTGCACAGTCGTTGGTGATATTCCTTTCCTTGTTGCTCACTTGAAAGATGATCACAAAGTCGACATGCACAGTGACAGCACCTTCAACCATCGTTATGTCAAATCAAACCCGCATGAGGTCGAGAATGCTACATGGATGCTGACGGTATTACTACCTTCTTTCTTCATATTCCCCTTCATATTTTGATTTCTCTTGAACCTTGTTATTTTATATTTTATTTAAAGATTCTATGAGAGGTAGGCCACTGAATTTTGGATTTCTTTTCTCGATTTTAGGTTTTCAGTTGCTATGGTCAGTACTTTTGCCTGCATTTTGAAGCCTTCCAGCTTGGGATGGCTCCGGTTTATATAGCATTCTTGCGGTTTATGGGTGATGATAACAAGGCAAAGAACTATAGTTACAGCCTTGAGGTGGGTGGGAATGGGAGGAAGTTAATTTGGCAAGGGGTTCCAAGGAGCATAAGAGATGGTCATCGTAAGGTTCGTGACAGTTTCGATGGTCTCATCATCCAACGCAACATGGCTTTGTTCTTCTCGGGCGGAGACAGTAAGGAGTTGAAGCTTAGAGTGACAGGAAGGATATGGAAAGAGCGGTAACGGAGGGGGTATGTTCTGTCTTGCCATAATAGGGCAGTAGATTGGTTTGTTTTGGTACAATTTAAGGGTCTTGTGGTCATGTATTTCTTTGGTTTGTTGAGGGGCAAGCTCTCTTTGCTTATCCATGGATCAAATACATGATGCTAACTTTTATGTCTAAAAATCAATTTATATAATTAGAAATGCAGATTTGTATGGTGCTAGTCAATTAGCGTTTGATGAAAGAACCTCGTGTTACACAGATGTAGTGCATGGCCTCTGCATCTTTTTTATTTGTAAAAAAGGGTCGAGAAGAGTAAGTCATTGGATCAAATGGTTGGATTATTTTGGGGTGTCGCTTATCTTGTTCTTTTTGGGTTTAACCATTCAGATATTTTTTATCGAATTATGTAGAGGTTTATTATGTAGAGGTTTATTATAGGATGATCCTCTTAATCTAATTTATTTCATTCGTATACATCAATATTCGAATTCTATACACGTGATAATGGGGCGTGAAATGAAATATCATAAATACGAGTTAATATGAACATTGAATACAATAAAACCACTATAATTAAATAAAAGATAAATTATACCAAATATCATTGAACTTTAGACGTTATATCTTTTATAAAAATGAATTAAGTTATAAAAATGAAAATAAATAGGGTCAATTTAAAAGTAAATAATTTTTTTAGAGATTAAACTAAATAAAAATAAATTTAAAAGAATTAGCATATCACTTAATTTTTTAAAATCAGTTGATCAAAACTGTCACTTAAGACGATTTACTCAACTAAATTTTATTAAAGATTTAAAAATATAAAATAACAGAGATAATATCTTAAAATGTAAACAATAAAATATTATAAAAAAGTAAAAAATAACTCGATAAAAACATAATTAAAGAGATAAATGGACTTTTAATTTTTTTTATTAATCTAAGATGCTTTTAAGTGATAATATATATTCTAAAAACTCTCATTCATTTGACAATAAATACTTAAATATCATGTAATTATTAATGCTTGAACTCTAAACCTTTAGAACTAATAACCATTCATTTAGCCACTAAAGTTACTTAGTTCGTGCGACTTTAATATTTTATAAATATTATATTAAATAGTAATTTTTTTAGATAATATAGTAGAAAAAAGATTAACTCATTTAAGATGTTGGAGAAATTATTAGTTTATATAAGGTGTTAGTTACAATGTCGGTAGAAAGACACGCAGATTATATGACGTCTTTAAGAAGATGTCTGGAAGACACAATGTCGGTAGAAAGACACGCAGATTATATGACGTCTTTAAGAAGATGTCTGGAAGACACAACGTCTTCTCCAAACAACATGCAATCATAACATTAAGTCTAGTAGAGTAACAATCTAAAAAACGTTGAGTAGTCCAAATGTCTTCCCAAATACATCAAATAATTTGTACATCTTCTTATTAACACTTTATGTCAACAAATAAATTTCCCAACACACTTAATGAACAATTTTTCCCAACCCATTACCTTATAATTTTTGCAACATTATACCTGTATGATCTACTCAGAGCCGGCTATTTGGGTGCACGTCTCTAATTTTTATAATCTCATTATTTACCTTCATAATTGAGACCTTTAGTTTTTTTTATTCTCACTTTATACATTTACAATTGAGACTCATAAGTTTTTCAATATCACTTTCTACTTTTATGATTGAAGCTCCTAATTTTTTTATTCACTTTTTATCTTTATAATTGAGACCCTAATTTTTTCAATCCAACTTTTTATTTTTATAATTGATGCCCATAATTTTTTCAATCTCACATTTTAGCTTTATAATTGAAGTCTCTAATTTTTTAATATCACTTTTTACCTTTATAAATGAGGTTCTTAATTCTTTTAATATCATTTTTTATCTTTATAATTGAGGCCCCAAATTTTTTCAATCTCACTTTCTACCTTTACAAATAAAGCCTCTAATTTTTTTAATATCACTTTTTACTTTTATAATTGAGGCTTTCAATCTCACCTTTTACCTTTATAATTGAAGTCCCTATTTTTTTAATCTCACTTTTTATATTTATAATTGAGACCCTTAATTTTTTTTAATTTTACTTTTTACATTTATAATTTTTCCCTATTTTTTTAAACTTATTTTTTAGCTTTATAGTTGAGGTCCCCAATTTTTTAATCCAATTTTTAGTTTCATAATTTAGGGTCCTAATTTAATCATTTTTTTAAAATTTATTAATGTAATATTAAATTAATTATTCTAAGTAATAGAATATATTTTAATTTTATAAATACCCATCTTTTAGTTTTGTTCAGTACTATGGATGTATTTATTATATATAATACGTTAACTTAAAACAAAAGAGAGGATGTTTCGCGTGCACGAAAAGCTCGTGGAACTCTTAGTTCTGTAGCATCGTGCGTCTGGCAAGAAGCAAACCAATACCAACCAAAAATGGCATTTAAGTTTCGAGCTGCCATTACAACTTTGAATTTTCCCAGAGAATTATCCTTTTTCACATTCTATTACTAAAAATTAATATAATCTCTTTTAAAAAAAAAGAAATAATGAAAAAATATACTCAAATTCAATCAACGTTTTCTTTTTTCCCTTATCCATTTCTTTTGATTCTCGCGGATTTGTTCATTTCATATTAAAAAGGAGAAAGAGAATCATCCCCTTGTTCAAAGTAAACTTCTCATTTTCCTATGCAAACCCTTCGTTGATTTGGTAATTTGGTTTTCCAACAACGTAAGAACAACCCATTTTTAAATTCTTGTTTTTGGCATTGGTTTTCTTGTCCTTACCTTCAATTCTTAAATACCAACATTTTTCTGGGGGGATTTTTTATTATATTTGATGTAGAAGAAAATTTTATCATTGAAGGCTCACTCTTCAATCCGATGATCTTATGTTTAACAGAAAAGGCCAAATATTTAGAATGTAAGATTTTCTTTTTCGGAATCGAAATTATTGTTTTTGTTTTTTTTTCTTTAATGGGTGTTCATGTTATTTTAATGCAGATTAAGGAACTCATAAATGGGATTTTCCAGATAATAGCAGTGATTAAGGTCTCCAATTTGAAGGCTGGAGATGTCTACCCAACATGTAAATTCTGATCGCAAACCCCCTTCTGGTAATGATTCATGCAATCCATTCAAAGACAAGAGGCTGTCTTATTTTTTGTTGTGTTCTTTTATCTTGACAATAATTTCCTACATTGAATGATTATGATATCCCCAAGAAGGAGTTGATAATCTCAGACTATCTGAATTGTTGCCAAGAAAATGGAATGCCTATATATTTTTTTGACAGCATTGTTGTTGAAATGAAGAACACGTGTTTTTCATGGTTTAAAACAGATGAAAAAAACACTATTGGTTGATGTCCATCGATGAAGATGACGGTATCGATGGTTATCTTCTATTCTGGATCGATCTTTGTGGATACCCTTTTATATATTCAGATGTTTCATGGACTTCCTATAGTGATTCTCTAATTAGAATTCTGCTTGCATGTTTCTGGAAATCAATGCTTTCAGATAATATGTTTGGCTTATTTTTATGTTGCCTTGCAGGATCCAGTTCTCGCTTATACGATCTGTTATGTCAAGAACAACTATATTGGAATCAACCAAGTGATGCAGGTAGTACACCTTGGTTTATGAGGAAGGACTCATGGAGATCATCTAGTATGTTGCCTTTAACTCTAATTTTGTGTTTGAAGCATCATATCCCGAGTTATCAAATAGGAAACTAAAAATTGCAATTGCAAAATAAAATTCAGTGATGCATAAAGGACATAGGACCAAATTCCAATATGCTATGATGTATTGGTCCTATCCCGGGTGATTTTACAGTTCTTATATACGTACGGAACTGTATATCCATAGTCTGTGGAAGCACACAGGTTTTCCTGTGTGCATTCAGTAGTTTGGTTAATCCCTTATTCCCTTTTAGGTCCTCGGCCTGTGTTCAAATATGGAACTGATAGTAACTGTAGTATCTCATTTGGCTTCCCATTACCCTATTCATTTATAAGTTTTAACTTGTATTGTTCATTAAACAGGCGCAAAAGGAAGGCTAGAGAGATTGATGCAGGAATCTGGAAACAGTGTTTGTGCAGACTGCAGATCCCCTGATCCAAAGTGGGTGTAAGTGTCGTACTTTGATTTGTTATGAAGTTTTCTTGTCTCATATTGTTCATTTCTAGGGTATAATCTGAATTTCTCCAGACTTGGGTTTCGGTAGCTTCCTTTATGGAGCAGCATTTCAAGTTTAGTACACTTTTTCTGAGCATATCAGTGTTGGATACATACCTAAATCCAACCCTTATTCCAAGTTCGTGCAGCATAGGTCTATGATTTATTTAATAATTATATTTTTATTTTTCCATCCCTCTCTTTTGTTTATATTGCCTTGAATGAAAAGTTCGCCACCATATCTGTTATAGTGACAGTAATTCATTTGTTGGCCTCTTTTTAACTGTTGCTCATTTTCATATGTGTTTAAAGTTTGGTATATTAACTCGACATTGCCTTTTTTATGACAACTTTTTCCCTGTACATCAGTTCATTAAATCTTGGAGTATTTATTTGTATCAAATGCTGTGGTGTTCATAGAAGCTTCGGAGTACATATATCAAAGGTATGGTGCTTGGATTATACTCGTATTTTACTTGAATGATTTTTCAACTGGATTATATCACCTATGTCTTCTGGTGTAAAAGCATGATTAGTTGCATTAATGCATCATGAATCTACCATCCTAATGTCTGCTACCTTTAGTCCATCGTCATTACGGAACACTAAATGCTGAGGAACAGGATTATCTCATATTATGAGGACTTGCACGGATTAATCATCTTCAGTACTTGGAAGTTGTCACATAAAAGGCTGTTAGATTAGATAGAACAACTAGCTATTAGGAGAAATAAAATTGGTATCTAGTAGTTTTCCGTGTAATAGAATGATATCGAGGAATAAACAAATCCAGCACTGTGATGATATACTTCATTAGTAAATTTTTTCTGTCAGATACTCTGAATCGAAGTGCCAAATAGATCCCATTGGATCAGTTCCTTATCTTTGATCTTGATAAGTTATTGAGGATTATCCTAGTTACTCCAAGGCTTCATTTTTGTTGAAGTATCCGTACAACAGCCTTGTCTCCGCACATGCACTTATCTTCTAATTTTCTAATTTGATAAGCAATTGTGATAGGTTTTTTCAGTGAAGCTCGATGAATGGACAGACGATCAAGTTGATTCTCTGGAGAATTTGGGTGGCAATAATGTAGCAAACAAAAAGTATGAACCTCTGCTTCCTGATAACATCACAACGCTGACACCAGATTCATCCAATGAGGAGCGTGCCGATTTCATCAAGTAATGCCTAAATAAACTTGCCGTTGTCTTTTTATCCGGCTAGAATTCTTAATTTTTTTATACTCAGTATTGTGCTGCCTGAATGCTTAGGAGAAAATATGAGATGCTGCAATTTCTCGATGGCAATGATCACGAGATTTCCCCCCATCCGCCTCATCAACGTTCTCCTTCGTCGTCTTCACAGAGTTCTTCTCCCACCCTGTTTGCCCAAGATAAAAGACAGTTTGAGAAACAACCAACCAGACATCGTATAGGGCAAAAATTTAGAAACAGTTGGTCGAGAAGAGATAATGATCATCACAAGTCCATTAAGAAAAGCAACTCATTGGTAATAATTACTTTTTTATTGATACTTATTTTAATTTTCCGATCCCAGAAGCACTTATTCCCTATAGAACTGGCTGGTTGATGCATATATGCTAGTACTATTCTCGTCAGATACATTTTATTTCTGATGCAACTTTACTGACGAGCAGATATCTCTAAATCTGACCTGATCTTCTATACCTTGGATCCCTGCGAATTAAGTGGTAGTATAGCATGGTTACTTCATGTTAGCTTTCGGAAAATATCAATATGATCGTAGAAAACATATCATTTATACGCTTTCAATATACTGGAATTTGTATTGAAGTGGATGCTGTTTTTTCTCTATATGTGCTGTTTATAGGCAGGTATGGTTGAATTCATTGGGATGATTAAGGTGAATGTGGTCAAAGGCATCAACCTAGCTGTCCGGGATATGGTTTCGAGCGATCCGTATGCCATTCTCACATTGGGTCAACAGGTATACTTATCATTTTCACGAATACAATGTTATTATTATATGAACTGAAATGGACAAATCCAGTGAAGCAACTTAACAGTGTGATTTGAATTCTTAGTGATTTCTTTTCTTGCAGTCAGTCAAGACCCGAGTTATAAGGAAAAATCTAAATCCAGTCTGGAATGAAAGCCTGATGTTGTCCATTCCAGAAAACATTCCTCCTTTGAAAGTGGTGAGTTACATTCTTTAACAAAAAACGGAAAAACGTAATGTGTGGAAAACACAAGCATGAAATGGCTAAAGTTTCTTTGACACTTTACAACATTAGTTTTGTTACACTGGTAATTCTTTGTTTGCCTGCAAACCATTAAGAATATATTCACTCGGTTGAAGTAAGTAACTTCTTTTGGAAATGATGATTTATAGTCTGAAAATGGAACCTTAAAACATTTTTTCCGGTTAGATGACGGTATTATGCTTCTATGTTGCTTCGACTCTTCGTTTTCCTTGAATTACCCATCTCCGGCACATATTCAGACATCAGTTGGGGAATACCCTCCAAATACATGAAAATCTTGGGTCGGGTACGGGATACATACCCGTGTGTGACCCAAGTCTTAGCAACATAGGTTTGCCTTGTCCTTTTACTTGTTAAATACGTAAGTTCAGTGTTTCTTTGAACGTCATCATCAGTACTGTTTTGGTTCATTTGCATTTGAAGGCATCCCTGAATGAAATGCTGATTATGACTTGGTTTTTAATCTTAAGAAAAAATTCATAAACAACGCAGGTTGTGTACGATAAAGATACTTTCTCATATGACGACTTTATGGGGGATGCGGAGATCGAAATTCAACCGCTGGTTACTGCAGCGCAAGCCCATGAGCGTTCCGAGATTCATGAATCGATGCAGCTCGAGAAATCGGTTGAGGATAAAGAAAACACCCTAGAAAAAGACGGCCTTATTACTGTGGTAGATGGGAAAGTAAAACAGGATCTGTCTGTTCAGCTACAAAATGTCGAGACAGGAGTGCTCGAGATCGAAATCGAATGCCTTCCTCTTACTCAATAGCTGTCCAGTTTGAATGGATAAATGTAACGTAGGAAAAGATCATCAAAAATGGCTTTAAACAATGCCTGGATGATGATTAAGCGCCATTCATAGAATGAAACAATGATGTATAATTTTGTAGCACTTGGGGTGAGTGTCAAATATAGGTATGTCAATTTTTTTTCCTATATTTGGGGAATCATATCCTATATATTTGAATATACGAATGATACGAATTCTTCAACATGAAAATGCAGGTCGACGTATGGAGCAAAATTTGGAGAAGTATACTTGCATCTAAATATGTATCAAACACACTTTAGATACGGATATTTTAGCGAGTAAGCATCACTTGAAATTATTTTCACAGTTCAGGTTCTTTTCTTTGGCTTTAGTTGATACTTTCCTATGATAATTATGTCACATCCCATCAAATTGAAATAGCTTTACCAATTTTACTTGGAGAATGATATTATATTTTATCCTGCTTCCTTTTGAATCATCTTTAGCAGAGGGCAACTAAAACGATGACCCCAAGAGATGGGTATGAGACGTGGACAACTTAGGTACGTACTCGGGGCGTCCCATGCTCAAGGGATACGGTTAGAGATATATTGAAAACAACGTTTGATCTTTAAACTCGTACCTAAGGTTATTTTTTAGATTTGACTTAAAAATAAGGTTATTTTTTTATATTTAACTTAAAAATAATAATAATAAAAATAGGATTTTGTATAAGTAGTTGAAGTCAATTTTGTAAGCTTCGAATATTAGCTGATTTCGATGAATTTTCAGATAAGATTCGGATGTTTTTAAGTTGGGATTAGGGGTGGTAATTTAATTCGAAATTGTCGAATTTTGACCCAATCCAACTCAATAGGATCGTATTTTTACAACAACAAAAAAAATTGGGTTCAGGTTGGATCAGATTAGATTTCATAAAGGAGTGAGATCGGGTCGGGTTCGGATGGAGGGTGAAAAAACTTCGACTGGACTCAAAGATAATAGTATAATTTCTCCATTGCTATAAAACTCCTCTATATTTTTTTTAATTAAATCCTTATTTTATATTAAATTTATACTCTAAAAATTTAGATCGGTAAAAGATATATATCTTTTGGAACGGAAGAATATATATTTTCGGGTTGCATCCGAGTGAAGAATACTTATTTTTCAGGTGGGTCGACCAAAAACCCAACTCGTTATCGTCCCTCATTGAGTGCCTAAAAATAAAAAGCTAAGATACATCCGTTTTAACAAAAATATCGTCAAAATTAAATTAATCCCCAATTTTCTCGCTAGTACTCATCAAAGTTATAACACAAAAGGAACGACAACCATAATTATAAACTCCAAATATCCCTACAGCTTAAGTCTTTGAAACTTGAATTGATATTGGAGGCATTCAACAAGGAATACCCCTCCAAAAATTGGCGTATGCCGCTTGAAGTGGAGATGGGTTTCACAAGTCTTAAAATTTATATATTTTATTAATCGATTTCCAATACAAAGTTGAGATTCTAGAGATTATTCTTTTGAAATTGTAGTGGAGAGCTAAGAACCTGTGAATAAGTGAAATTCCAAGGAAGCTAGAGCTAGAATTAGCAGTAATCATTCCTTTTGATTCATTGTACTAGGTTGGTGGCTTTCATTGCACTCAGAAGGTGCGGTGCACCTGCCAAATGAAATGGCTATGTTTCTGGGATACTTGATGAAGGAGGATCCTTTTGAACCATCTTCAGCCAAGGGAAATACAACAACCTAAAGAATAGGAAAGATGATTAAATGACAGAAACATTAACTAGGAATCGGGAAGGGGCTTGCGCAAACGCAGGCCCCAACTGCCACAAATAATGACGTAGGCTCGCCCTCTTGGGGAGACTTAGGCAGGTGCACCTTCTGAGTGCAATGAAAGCCACCAACCTAGGCCATAGATCTTACTGATTGCCCATTGACCCCGCCCAGGTAAGTATGTTGCAAAGGTCACCCATATTCTTTCTTTATAAGCATTGCTAAACTCCCCTCTTTGCTGCCCTCCTGATGTGGGCTTGGAGTTAATTGTTACCGGACTATCGGGTCTTTTTAACACGACTACGTTCGATTTGTTTAAAACACTTGTCCCACAAGAAAGGTACAGAATGAAGATAACAATAGTGTTCTTCTAAACTATCCGGAAGTAATTTACCTATGTTACTCTGAATTCGACATCCATATTCGATACAAATATAAGGATAGGACTCTCCGCAGACCTAAAATATGGAAATACTTAACACTCAAAGCAGATATTGCTTACAGTTTACTCCTTCCTTAAACTAAGAACAATCCTGGAGCATTAAGCGATTAGATATATCAAGCTTAAATCCGTAAACAAACCAGAAATCAATCCACAGTCTGTATGAATGAATGAGAATTCAAGTATGTATGACTGCAGCTTCTATAATTACAAAGTGAATTCAATAGAAGAAGTAAAGCATAAATGACACTTTATTCTCATTACAATCTGTCAGAAGATATGTGATTCCATTACATTAATATAACACTAAATATTTGCAACGAGAAAATTCGGATCTCCTTCGGAAATCGGAATCGAAATGCCAAAACCATATATGGCATTTTGATTTTACATCACACTATCATTGTCAACATCCAGTTGAACAAGACAACAGACGATCATCAGCTCTCTGCTAATGAAACATTTCATACCAAACACATAAGACTATTGCTTGCAACATCTACATAAACGAGCTTCTAAATCTGCTATCAAACCAACGAACTTCACCATTAAAGACATCTACTGATCCACATATGCTAAGGAAGATGAAAACGAACTTCTAAATTATACCTTAGCACCATGTAGCAATAGAAGCTTTAAGAGCAACAATCCGGGCAACGAATCAAGCCATTTTCATTGCACTCCAAGCATCTTTTAACCAACTCTTCGTCTTCGTCGAACACTTTTCGACTCCCACTACAGTTCCAACAAGGCACAAACCTGGCATCCCCACAACCTTGACAAACAAACCCAGGTTGTCTCCTTGGAAACCCATCAAGAATCTTAGCCAATTCCCCAACTTCAAACATGCTTTTAATCACATCAGCACCACCGATATACTTTTCCTTGATAAAAACCTGAGGCAAACTCACTGTCTTCAGTTTCAAAACACTTTGCAACTCTTTCTTGTAAGCAGCATCCATGGAAATATCTCTCTCATCAAACCAAACTCCAAACCCTCTAAAGATCATCTTAACAGCGTAACAATCCTCGTAAGTCCTTCGAATCCCTCGTAAGCTAGTTAAATAGACAACAATTCGATCTTCGGTTCCCGGAAACCTTATCAAAGAGTTGTTAAAGCTCAAAGAAAGAGAAATTGATTTCGAGGGTCTTAAAGCAACCTTGGGAGAAATTTCCTTAGGACTTTCTGAGTTCGATGAAGACTTGGCGGATTCGAATAAATTGCAAAGCTGCTTAACTTTACCTTTGATGGAGCCGAATGAATTGTAGAACTTGGAAACGGAAGCTGCTCGATTAAGAGACGATGGGTTATTGAGAAGAAGATGAAGTTTGGGGCTTTTCGATTCAGCTGCCGTCGGGTGTATAGTAAACGAGCGGTTCAAGACCAACGGTTCAGGTGATGATTTCTCCTTGTTTTCCATTTCTGCCACCGATCCAGATCAGAGAAACTCACAAATTAGCAAATGAAAAACAAAAAAAAATGATTTTTTTCAAGAATATTGGGATTTGATGGGAGTTTTAATTTGGTTTGTTGTGGATTGATAAAAAATGAAGGCTTCTTTTGTTCTTTAATTTTATTGTTTGTGGAGAAAAATAACTGAAGAAAGCAGAAGCTTTGCTTTTTCAGTTTTTCTTCTAGGCGTAGCATCAAAGCTAGAACTTCTTGTTTTTATACTTTTCAAATTAAAATTTATTATATATTATTCTTTAATAGTGAGAGTTCTTAATTCATTAAATAAGTATTTTTTTTTATTTTATAGAAAATATTATTTAAATTCAAATCATTTAAAAGAAATAATTATTTTTTATTGTTTAGATAATCTCAAAAGATCAAAATAAATATTTTTTAAAAAATAAAAATATATAAAAATTATTTTTTAGTTAATTAAAAAAATATTTTTCATCCAAAAAATAAATAATGGTGGACAATTCATAATTCGGAGGCCTCACACGAAAGTTACTCTCAACCTGATATTTGGGACAACCTACTATCTTAATTACATCTACCCATTACATATGGTAATAAGGGTCAGCTAATTTTTTTTAGTTTAAAAGAATCTTTGTAATAAGAATTTAAAAAAATGTTTTTACCTAAATTTAATTTATTTTTTAAGATAAAAATGTGAAAGAGAATATTTACTTTTTAGGTGCAGAGGAGAGCAGGAACCGTCTCTTTTGAATCGGTTTTAGCTTTGGCTTTCTTTGAATTTTTTAGTGTGCCTTTTTTGACCAAAGTGAATGCCTATTTATATATTTTTATTATTATTTATTATACAAAAGCTCACGTGTATAACACGTGCTACCATAAACTAATAGCACATTTTCAAATTATGCATTTTTTTTAATTATTTTTAAAACTCCTAATATGGTAACAATATGATTATTTATCGTGTGCTCTCTTAGTTTCACCCCCATTGTTTTTTATTTTAATTAATTTATTGACATATTTTACACTTGTTACTGTGTGCTTGAAAATTAGATTTAAAACTAAAAAGAAACGGTTAATTAGGCAAATGGTTAATGTGATATGTGTATATATAGAGAGGTAAAATGAATATAAAATATATTATAATTTTATTTTGTTGTCCTCTCAATTTCAAGATTTTACTCTAACTAATTTGATTCAACACTTATTTTGGATTGACCTACTTTAACGAACCCTTTGGTTAATTTTTTTTTTTAAAAAAAAAGAAAATTAGTTAGTTGTTTCTTTAATTGTACATTGTTATAGGAATATAATATTTGATTTATTACGACATCTCAATTTACACTAAATATAGAATTCGAACGTCAGATAACTCCTATCCTTTCAAAGGTCTGCCTGAATCGTTGTAGTCGCATGGTAAGTTAGGTTGTGTTTGTTTTTGCAAAGGTAAAATGTATGTAGTATGCGAATCATATTTGCAGACATCTGCAGTAAAAGAGGTGGATCAAAAGTCTGGAGTCTGCAAGCAGAAGACTGTTTGTTTTTTAACGTCTGCACTGCTAAAATGAACTAAAATATAAATAAACTGATTTTTTAAACTTAAAAGAGTTTTGCAATACTGAGATTTAAATAATCCATACAACTACAATAATAAATTATTTAAAATAAATCAATCTATATTTTAAAAATAAATCAATACATACTAATAAATTATTTAAAATAAATCAATTCTTACAACTACAATAATAAATCAATCCATATTTTAAAATAAATCAATCCATACAAATAAATTATTTAAAATAAATCAATCTATACTAATAAATTATTTAAAATAAATCAATTCATATTTTAAAATAAATCAATCCATACTAATAAATTATTTAAAATAAATCAATCTATACAACTACAATAATAAATCAATCCATATTTTAAAATAAATCAATCCATACAAATAAATTATTTAAAATAAATCAATTCATACTAATAAATTATTTAAAATAAATCAATTCATATTTTAAAATAAATCAATTCATACAAATAAATTATTTAAAATAAATCAATCCATATTTTAAAATAAATCAATCCATACTAATAAATTATTTAAAATAAATCAATCCATACAACTACAATAATAAATCAATCCATATTTTAAAATAAATCAATCCATACTAATAAATTATTTAAAATAAATCAATTCATACTAATAAATTATTTAAAATAAATCATTTTAAAATAAATCAATCCATACTAATAAATTATTTAAAATAAATCATTTTAAAATAAATCAATCCATATTTTATAATAATTTATTTTAAAATAAATCAATCCATATTTTATAATAATTTATTTTAAAATAAATTATTTTATAATAAATTATTTTAAAATAAATAACCTTATTAAATTATTTAAAATTATTTTAATAAATAACTATATTTTATCATTATTCTTGAAGAGGTTTGGAGACCTTTTAAGACATAAAACCATGTCTGCACTAAGAAGAGCTCGCACAGACGTTTGAAGAGCTTCTGTCTTCTAAAAAACAAACAGTCTGTGAAGCCTAATGTCTGCGCGTGATCTGCGCGGAGCAGACATAAGTGGTTTGAAGAACTTGCACAGTGAAAACAAACTAAGCCTTAGTGTCATGCAGCAGCACATCATTTTGGCCTTGCATATATAGATTCCAAATCAATAATAAAAACTCCAAACTCTCATGACCAAGCACTTCAAATGTCAAATTCTTGGCATACCTATAAAATGGCACTAAATATAATCTCTGTACATATGCTTTTTATTCCCTATAGAGAATCCAAAATCACATGCATATCTAGCATTCCAAAAGATCCAACTGCAGCAAAAACTATGATACATGACATCTAAATACATATGAATGGATAAATAATTTGCAAAATGAAACACTGAGAAAATGATGAGCAAATGTGAATATGTTCCGACTATACAAAGAACACCAGAGGGAATTAATTGCAACATGTTAAAGTATACTATAACCACAAGAATTTACTCGAACAAAATATATCATATATGTAAAAAGCCATTAAAATTAAGCTTCTCCCCATGTTATTCCACTCTTCAACCCCACCAATAACTATGTGGAGGGAATAGGAAAGGAAGCTGATAAGCCTCACTATTAGGACTATGGGGAGGGGAATGAAGCATGAAATTGTTCATTATCCACTTCATATATTTTCTTCTTTGTTCCTGATGTTCTTTCACCATCTTCTCTACCAACAACATTTCCCATTACTGTTAAAACACAAAAAAAGAATCATCAATTAGTTAAATGATCTCTACAATAACTAATAAAAAAACCCATTGTTTCCTACAGAATCAAATTACAGAATAAAAAAATGAAGAAGAAAAGAAAATACCCTGAGAGCAAAACTGATGGAGTAAAGGTGACGTTTTACTCACCCATGAATGTAACAATCACAAGAAAGCATGCAAAGAAACTAATGCAAGGATCGTTCCTTTTGTTTTTATGACCAATTTGTTACTTTTAAAATCTTAGTGGAGAAAATAAAAAATTATTCAAACATTAGTAATCATTTATGTAGTTTACCCTTTTTAATTTTATATATTCGTTGTTCCACATCGGCAATCCGTTAAAGGTCTAACGACAGTTAACATTTAGTGATCACATCTTAATTAAATAAAAACAAAATGTCCAAACATTATGTTTTTAAATTTAGTAAAAAAAAAGTGTACAAAATTTAAACGAAATTGATCAATCATGTAGTTTACCCTAAAATGTTTTTAAAAATTTCCCAAATTAAAACATCTATTTCCCTTATCTTTTTACGAATTATTTCTTAACCTGAAACATAATACATTACAACCAAAACAATTTTAGTAAACATTGAATTAACATAAACAAAAGACGATGATAAATTCCATCCATACTGAAAAGACAATATATGTATAGATACATGATACATAATAAATTATCACAAGAATGCAATCGATACAGTCCAATATCTTACAAGTTGTCATACCATCAGATTTAGATATTTTGAACCCTACATCTACATGAATCCATAATATAACTTGAAACTCAGAAGTTTTGTTTCTTTAAAGCATTTCAGAAATAATCGATCGCCTCGCATTCGAAGCCCAAAAACTAAAACCGTCCAACCTTGTGAGCTTTGCATTAATATTTTTTTCAAAGTTCAACTTCTTCTTAAATTCCCATATTCGCTCTTAAGGATTACCTTTTCACGATTTTTAAGATCTGAATTAGACAGACAAAAATTTACTAAGTCGCAGTTATCAGTACCCTCATACTTGAGTTTTTTTTTTCTTCCATACTTTTACACTTTATGAAGTACTTCGTTTCGTTCACGAGTGGTTTTCCTGAGAATTCAGCTAGCCTCTTCGATACTTTAACACTATTTATATCTGTGTATAAAATGTAATGAAATACCGAACGAATAGGAAAATAATTAAACTGATTTAAAAAATAATAAAAATAATCCATGGAGCAGGGTGAAAAAGCTTTATAATGAGGGATGTGTACAAAAGAGATGAACTTAGATGGTAGATATGGTAGAATCCTAAGCAGTGGTTGAATTTGGTGTTGGTCTAAAACCGTGGCCTGAACCACGACAAAGAGGGCAAGTTCTATTCTGAAGCAACCATTCATCTATGCAACATCGATGGTATACATGCTTACACTTGGAAAGAGCCTTGCAAGAATCGCCGTCTTTGAACTCTTCCAAGCAAAGAGGGCAGTTGGATTCGGTTTGTTCGTCATTCTGGTACCGGATCGTAATCGACACTACAGCAAAACTAGCTTTTTGCGGCGTTTTTTACCTATAGCGGCGTTTTTAAGCTCCGCAAAAAGTCATAACGTCGCAAAAAGCATCGCTGAAAATAGCGTCGCTAAAGTTCGCGGCGTTTGTGAACCAAAAACGCCGCAATATGTCTTACAAACGCCGCAACAAGTTCTGATCTTTAGCGGCATTTGTCTTACAAACACCGCAATAGATTTTGACATTTTGCGGCGTTTGTAATAGGTTTTGACATTTTGAGGCATTTTTAGTGTACAAACGGCACTACAAATTCGGTATATAGCGGCGTTTTTAGGATACAAACGTCGTTGATGGTCTGGAGCGGCGTTTTTAGTATACATACGTCGGTA